GCTCCGGTCCAGGAGGAAACTGTGTCAAAGTCATGAATATTTCACAAAAGGTTTTCGTCTGCAGTAGCAGATGGAAAAAAGTAACACATTCAGAACAAACTTTACAATGTCTGGACGAATCTTCCTCGACCTCATCACCAATTTATATTACTAGGCCTGTTCCTGGAATCCAGAATAATTCATACCTCACTTCCAGGAAATCCTGCTCCCCGACTCGCCGGCGGATGAGGTAGTCCCGAATCTTCCCGCCGCTTTCCATCCTCTCCCTCAGCAGGATCAGGTCAGCCTCGATCTGCTCGCACAGCGACCGCACCGTGGCCACCGACGCCTCCATGTCCTTCTCATCCAGACCGTAATCGCCTCCATCTGCACAGAAAACGACGAGACGGCGCTTACTGGACAGCGGGACTGAAGCAGTGACAGTCCTGTGAGAGGGCAGAGCTCAACTGAAAGACTTAAAACGTATAAAATGGTGGAACAAAATATTTATGGGGATGTCAATATAGAAATTTGAAAACTTCAATTACCGTGACCCTAAACCATCCCCTGAAACGACTTAATTATAGCGTATTACCTTCAAACAAAGAAAGAAAGAAAACCAACCATTTTGTTTAACGCTGCAAAAACAAAATTTTACCAAGTATTTTTGTTCTACTTTTTTGTGCAAATATCTCAGTACACTTTAAACAAGTCAAAAATAACTTAGAAGTAACTCTTCAGAATGACAGGAGCTTGTTGTAAGTCAATAATTCTTTAATATTTATGGAAAAGTACAAGGGGAAAAAAGTCTTGTTATAAGTGAAATAATCTTTCAGAGCAACTAGTACAATTTTATCAATATCAAGAAATTGTTTGCTTAAACCAAACTCCTAAATCTAACGGTAAAGCTACTTGTAAATTAGTTTTGTCTTACTTCAAGTGTACTACTTTATTTGCACAATAAACTCGACTAAAAACACTTGGTGAAATTGTGTGTTTTTGAAAGTGTAGATACTAAAGAGGTGCGTTCACTTCAATAGAACATTTTTCCAAGAAAGAGTCGGATCAACGTCCATCGTGCTTTATGCAGCTGCGACGTACTGCTGTCCAATTGCAGACAAGAAAAGCTGCGATACCCTGAGAGATGAAGACATTTACTCAGGTCAGCTGGTAATCTGGGCAGAATAGGAGCCGTGACAACCACATGTGTTTTCCTGAACGAGCGGCAGTCGCTCTGCAAAGCACTGACAAATGAAACCCTTTTACATACGCGCTACAGGCCCCCCCCTCCCCCGACCAGAATGCCACATAGGTCAGGCATGCTGCTGTAACGGGCAAAAAGAAGTCTGGCTGCCAACAAAAGGCTCTCGTGTGTGTGTGTGTGTGTGTGTGTGTGTGTGTGTGTGTGTGTGTGTGGAACAGAGGGAGTTTTAGAGTGAAAGCCAAACACCAAACAGATCGGATGAACCATGTTACTGTCAAATGGGGGGCTTTTGCTATGTTTGCATATAGATAACTTTTACTTGCTGATTTATGTAAATCCTGACAACACGTGCTGCATTGTACGCTCACATTTGAGAAAAGTAGTAGAGACGCCCCAATTACAATCACTAGATATTAGAGAATTTTACATTCATGGACTCTGATTGGTGACTGGGAGGTCAGATACCAAAAAGTCTGATTGTTTTTTTTTTTCAACCTACACATCGAAAACCACTTTTAGTCTATAAATGATTAAACCTACAGTTTTAACTACAGTTCACTTTTAAAATTTTGATAAAAATGGGTTGCTGTAGAGAACACACACCATGTGTAGGCAATAGGGTTGTCCTCGGTTCGATTCCGGGTCTCTAATCATTGCATGTGTTCACCTTTTTTTTATAATTTCTTAATGGGGAGTTGTTCAAAGCTCACTTTAAACTCTTTTCAAAAAAGGATTTGGTCAACTGTTTAAATACGCCACCTAGTCAGCCAACTATGTGCTGGATATTAAATAGGTTAAAATGTAGCCAAAGTCCACAGAGAAAATGTTGAAAGAAAAGGAACAAAAAAATTACAATAACTAACAGAAAAATCTGCCTAATGTTTTCGTTTTTATTGACTGATACCAGCTGTGTGTCTGCTCTAACAGATAGTAAAATCTGCTAGGAAACTGTGGCTCTTATTTGCTTAAATAGAAACTTCATAAATTCATCCGTACTACCTGAGCCCATCCCGACCACATAGATGGTCTCTCCACATCCCTCTTCTATCCGCTCTCTTAGCTGCCGCAGTAATGAATCGTACTGTTCTCCTGTTGGGCTCACAAGAATCAGCTGAAAAATGAGAGACAGCGACAGAAACATCTAATCAGCAAACCACATAAAACATTTTATTCTTTAGGTTCAAAAGTTCCCTTGTTCCCTAATGACTTCATTCAATATCAACAGTTAATGTTAGAACAGATGAACGGATGTCTTGAAAGTCCGCACTTTCGACTCATGTTCTGTTGGAACATCTGCATTGTGAAGATTTAATATCACTGCTCTGCAATTTATTTTTAAGATATAACCTTCTTTAATTGTTTACCCCCGAAGATTATAACGGGGCCCACCTTTTTGCTCAAGTCTAGGTAATCCACAGACTGCCCATTTGTTCCTTCGCCGTCCTCAAAGTCTTCTTCACACGATGGATCATCAGCACATCCCCGGTCCGGTGCGAACATACAAGCTGGTACTATGGACTCTGGTGGTGTTGAGCCTGGACATGTCGCCGCTGATGCCATATCTAAAAGCAAACAGCGTTAAGATAATCAGAATTAGATAATCTTACCCTTAGCTATGCCTGACAGGATATGAATAGTAAAAGTTAGCAAAATGTAAACACAAAAGTTAGGCTGAGTATCATATAGACCTAGCTAACGCTATCCAAAAGCCGAACTTGGAAGTGAGAAAACAACTTTATATTTGATCCAAACAAACGAACATAAACCTTCCCATGTCAGTGCTCTTATATTTTTAATTTTGCATTTACAAAAGTAGGCCGTTAACGTGGCAATGAGATCAAAACATACCAGTAAATAAAAGCTAGCAGATCGGCTAACTTTGTTGTTTACTCTGTTTGGCTTCGATTTCTGGGCTCACAACGCTTGTCCCGCCCACAACGAAAGCAAAGGTAAGGGATTGGCTATATCACATTACGTCATAAAACAAGTAGCCTATGTTGCATTCGAGGAACACGGAAAGAAGAAACTTTTACACTTACACTTTACTCTTACACTTCTTTAATAAAAGTTAAACATATGAACACGTGCTTATATCTTCAAATAAACGCCTTGTAACATCAATCCCATTTCACTTGAAGATATTACATTAATTATTTTGAAATTAATTAAAGACTAAATATATGGTCTTGATATTAAAATTACTATCAAAAAACGCAACTTCCAAATTCATTCAAAATTGAAGATTCTTCAAATAAAGTTAGCATGCTTTACGTTAAAAATGTCACAACAACTCCTTTAGAAAAACAAAGAACTAAACCAGGAAATATCTGGGAAAAAAATGTTTCGTTTTGGGGACATTAATCATTCAGTATCTAGCAAATTTAGAAGCAAATGAATGCAATAAATGCATCAAGAGGCACAAACCGCGCCCACTTGAGTGGGCGTCACCTCGAAACTAAAATTATATATCCCTAAAACTCAAGTCCATGACACGTAGACAGTACTACATGGTACAATATGTTACAATGATGTACCATACTGACAATACACAATAACTAAATAAATTAAATCATGTAAATTATTATGGTCATTGCCCAGTTTTAAAGGACGAATCCGTTTCAGTGCAATTCAAAAGCATAGCGCTAACAATAAAATATTACGTTTTATTGTCTTTTACTGCTACTGAAGTTGTTCTAAGGCCAATCAGGGATGTCAACTTCCGAGTGAAGCTTGGAGTGAGACCGGGGTGCAGATGGTGCAAGTCATAAAAAGCATTGTGTCATCAGGGTTATTGCACTGACATATATTTTTTATTAAATATGAACGAAATCAACACGATAAGAAATTGATTTTAAGTTGACAGCTTGACAAGTTAGCTAAATGATGGGCTAATCACATTTTATTTTATTCTATAGCTTACTTATCAAGTTATAGTTCACCTTATAGGTATTGTTTTATTTTTTTATTATTATTATTTTTGCTTCATAGATATACACATCGTGGTATAATTAACTTTCACAAATATTTTATTAATTAACTTTTATTAATTTATAATTTTATTATTTTCATAATTTATCAGATGAGAATAATAAATTATGAAAATAGAAAATATTCGCAAACACAGTAACAAATATACATAATATTGGCGCTCTTAGCTCCTGGTTTGTTTATGGGAAATAATAATCTCCAATTAGCAAACGTTGAAGCCATCTTGCTTCTTTGATGATCATTTGCTGAGAGTAATTTCAGAGTCATTTAAAACAATGCCATGGCAAAATTGTTGTTATAAAGTGATTTCAGCAAACACAGGCAAACATTGCATTTTGGCACTTACAAACAGTACGTCTATAGCTTTCTTTCAGCAAAGTAAAATGTTTTATTGTTTTTTTGTTTTGTTTTGTTTTTTTTAAGTGAGGGGGAAGGGGGGTAAGTCCATCCATCCATCCATTTTCTACACACCCTTGTCCCTTAATGGGGTTGGGAGGGTTACTGGTGCCTATCTCCAGCTAACGTTCCGGGCGAGAGGCGGGGTCACCCTGGACAGGTCGGCAGTCTGTAGCAGAGAAGGGGTCGGGGGGTCGGGGGTGAGGGGGTGTTCTCGTTTAAGTCCAGGGACTTTGATTATTTTTAGTGAAGTTTATCTGGGCAGAGAGAGTGAGATATAAAGAAAAGTTTAACTTCAGAAGGCTGAGAGTTGGCAACCCTGGGAGAAAAAGGCGAATCAATGCATCTCATAAAGCTTACACGTGCCATGCCTAAAACATTCATACTCTTTGAACTTGCACAGTAATAGTAAATGTAACTACTACTCCACATCCGATTGGCTCCTTCCTTCCCCCGCAACGTCACGAGGACGACATAAAGCATGAACCAGCAAGCAGAACTTTCTCACTCGAGGGACAAGCCTCTGAAGACCGCCAAGATGGTGAGTAGTGTGAACAGCTTCATTCATGGCCAGAGCTAAATCAAGACCTTTTCATTGTCCGTCATTTTGACTAATCTGGTCGAAAACATTCTGTCATAATCAATTTTTACCCACCAATTTTTAATTATATTTAATTGCGTTTCATTTTGTTTAATTCATATTTAACAAGCTGAACAGGTAATCGTGTTATCGTCAAGCCGAGTAAATGTAACTTTTTCTCTGTAAAGTTTTGAAATCAGGTCAAATTTCACCAATTGAATTGATCAGAGGTCGGCACAAAAAAAAATATTGATTGAATTACTTCTGCGATGTTCTCTTTGTGGTCAGGTGTGTGTAATTTGGCAAAATGACGGAGAACAAATTTATTCATGCACCGTTAAAAAAAAAACTGCAAAATATTCGGTAAACGCAACCACTGACCACAGCATTTTCCCAGATGACAGATTTATTCAATTGACTATGTATACTCAAACATTGTTTTTATAATATATTAAAAAGTGGATTTACATGAATTTAGTCTTTAATTCACGGTGAATAAGCTTTTTTTTAAATATGCAGGTGAAATTCTTGAAAGAGGAACATTAAGTCATTTTCAGATGTTTGACCTGTCTAAAATGCACAGGAAGACTCAATTTTCATTTTTTATCATATATTCAATTTAACGAGGACCGAGTGGCGATAATATGGACACTCGGTTATATCGTCGGTAAAGTGCACCACATTGCATTTTACACGTCATAACCTCAAATGTGTCCAGGGAGGGAAAGATGTGTAATCTTGTAGATTTAAATAATTAACCGCCTCACATGGATCAATAAAATCCAGTCCACTGACTATTTTTCCAGCACCTTCTGTGTCAAGTCAATGATAAACCAAACTTATCTGGCTGGGAGTTTGGGGGTTGTATAAAGAGAGACGACTGTGGGTGTGGTGATATAAGTGGGGGCCAGAATGTTGAAGTTCATGTTTAAACTATGCGCTCAGCACATAGATAGGAAGCACAAATGTGAATGTGATTTGTAGCTTAATTGACAAGATAAACAACTTCGCAGAACTGAAGGAAAATCCCTGGAAAGTCAGGGAGACTTTCTCAAAGCACAAGCCTGGAATAAGAAACAGCTCATTTGCTTTTAAATAAATAAATAAAATTTAAATTTTCTGTCCTTGCACACGGCAGTATATATGAATTTATAGATATATCTGCAACATCGACTGCAGATTATAAGATTTGGTGAGTGTGTGTGTGTGTGTGTGTGTGTGTGTGTGTGTGTGTAGGGGGGGTCCTTTTATGATTTTGCTACATCAACATGATGTCCACACATCTTTGAATAAATAGAGTACCTTCCTCTTTTGACTCTCTTTTACAACCGTGCATTGTTTTAATCCTGGTTGATCATCAACTCCCGAGATAAGAAAAGCTTCTCATTACTGATCTGAATTTAACGAGACTCTCTATCTCACACACACACACACGCACACACACTCACCCACATGCACACACACACACGCACACACACACACACACAAAATACTATGCAAACTATCATCACTATCATCATAAAATGATATGTCACACAACCATCATTTACCTGGTGGTGACATAAAACTGAATGCATCTACTTCTCTTACAAAGCAAGTTTTTTGTGTGAAGAATTACACTTTCCCCTAAATATTAAATATTAAATTTTTTAAATTAGTTTTTCTTTTTTTAATCTGTGTTAAGTATGAATTCAGTGTTTGCCCTGGTAAACTACATTCACACAACCGTAAATCTTTTAACAGAAAGTCCAGGACATGTCATTCAAGGTAGGGCAGGAGTTTAAAGTCCGAGTCAAACCCAACGATGACTGCGCCAGGTATGCATATGCTTCTTTTTATTCTAAAGCACAACAATGTCTAACTGCTTTGAAATGTAGATTTCAGTTAAATTTTCATCAAGAGGAAGTAGCGCGGTGGAATACAAGTTCATGGCGTCGTGCTTCTTCCCATTTCTTTGCCCTCTTCTTACCTTGTCCTGCTTCCGCCACAGCTTTGCACTCAACATCGGCCATGATTCCGAGAACATTGCGATGCACTTCAACCCCCGCTTCGACGCCGCGGGAGACCAGAACACCGTCGTCTGCAATTCCAAGTCCGGGGGGAGCTGGGGTGAAGAGGAACGAGACATGAACTTCCCCTTTGTGCGTGGAGAGGAGTGCAAGGTGTGTTCGTGGAATCAGTTTTGCAAAAGATACAGCAATGCAAGTTTTCCTTTCCAAAGTGAAACATTAAACTTAGACACACACAAACTTCAAAAACAAAATCTTAACCAAGTATTTTTGATCTAGTTTCTAGATCAGTACACTTGAAACAAGAAAAAACTAACTTGCATGTAACTTTTTAGCAAGATGTAGGAGTTTGTTCTAAGTGAATAATTTCTTGATATTTATGAAAAAGTATCAGTTCCACTGGCAGATAATTTCACTTATAACGTGACAATTTCCCATGTTGTGAGTGAAATAATTTGCCAGTGGAGCTGGTGTTTCTTCATCAATTTCAAATAATTATTGACTTGAAACAAGATCCTATATCTTGCCGAATTACTTGTAAGTTATTTTTGTCCTGTTTCAAGTATAACCAATTATTTGCACTAGAAACGAGGCCAAAAATAAGATTTAGTATTTTTGCAGTGTAAAGATATTAAAAAATCCTTAGTGTAGGAGGTAAAATTTCTAGTCATCAACAGAACACAAAGATCACGTTAATTCAGAGACTGTATGAAGCTAAATTAAGAAAACAAACATTTACATTTAAACAGAACATAAAGGTCATTAATTGTTTCTACATTATTGAATATTTAGTGAACTGATTTGTGAAAATTGTAATTCCAGTGCATATCCAAAAACAGATTCCTAGTTGTTGCGTGTATATGGAACAAAATTTATAAAGTATCAGCTTCATCAGCTTCAATAGACCTTAATATAATAACTTATAGAATAACAGATGATTGATTAAGACAAATGAGACATAGAGTCTTTAAACACGATTACAGAAACATTCAGTATTTCCACACAATGAAGCTGAACTTTGATTCTTTTTTTTTTCATCATTTCTTTTTTTTTATTGGTATAATGACCCAAAACTATTCCAGTCATTATGATTATTATTGCACATTTGTACAGGTGGGTGTTCGGTCTAGTTTGGTGCACTGATCTGTAGGTAATCATAAAGGAGAATATGGGGCCATAAAACTAACAATCTGTATTGTTATTGGACAATAATAATTCTTTAACACACGTTCTTTAGTGTTTCTGCTGATTTTTAACCGAGAACTAATGCATGTGCTTCCCTTCTTTTCTTTTCTTTCGTTTGGCAGTTTTACATCAACTTCAACATGGAGCAGTTTTACATCAAACTTCCCGACGGCAGCATGATGAACTTCCCCAACCGTCTGGGAGACGTCAAGTACAAGTTCTTCGACGTCACTGGCGACGCAAGGATCGTGGGGATCAAGATCCAGTAGAGGATGAACTCCTCTCAACATCTTCTGATCTGCCGGTTGGAGAAATGATCCGTTTCAGAGTCGCTGAGTCCGGCCGGTGTACTTCCGATTGCTTGCTGAGAAACAACTGTGTTGCAATGACGAGAAAAGGTCTGCAGATGGCGCCAGATCATATCTTATTTCACGGCTTTCCCCCTTACGGCTCGTCAGTAAATCGCCTGGTTTCTTCAATAAAACCTAAAAAAGGACAAGTTTGACTTTCTTTTTGCTTCACTTAAAATTTTAATGTACACTCATAATTAAAACATTATTACAGGTTATCTAATCACAATTGTACACAAAGTTCACAGGATATCTGACATATTTACAATGTAAAGGCAGATAAATTTGCTGGCAACCCTGAAAGAAATGCGTAATGAAAACCCTGCTCAATAGCATAATCTCTGCTGATATTGATTAGACAGCTACCAACGTTAGCTGTCGACATAAAAAAAAAAAGTAAAAATAGCAGAAAATTGAGAATCGAGTTTCATTTCATTTTGTGTCATCTTTAGAAAAAAATCATAATTTGGGAAAAGATACACAGTGAAGTGTGACACCTGGTAATGTGAAAGAAGGGACAAGTGTTAGATGAAGCACTCTGTCAGAAACAATTTGCAGCAGGACTCAAAAAAAGCTCTGTAGAGAAGCTGAGGAATGTGGCACGATTTAACCACATTCCCTGCGAGGACAGGAAACCTCATTTACAAGCTAAGAACTTTGCTTAACACAGTTTTCACCAATTTAGAGACATGAAAAGGAAAAAGTTGTAACCCTCTGATTAGAATCAAAACAAGACTAACATATTTGCATCAAACAAATTCAATATTAGGATTTGTAATGGTGTTTTCCTTCAGAGGAACAACAGTTTGACATTATGCCACCAAACATCCACATCTGCTGGGCTATCCAAAAATGTACCAGCATTTTCCATCACAGGCATCTTAGGACAAATTTATTTACAAATGTGGCTTAACTTGATGGCAGATTTTCTCCAGATACACACAGAACATTTTGTTCAAAGAAAAAGAAAAAAAAGAATACTGTAACCTTCTTTTTGAAAGTCTACGGAGCCCCCTAAGGGACATGGGAAATTACCGCACAAAAGAATTGCATTACCTTGCAATAAATATTGTGTTTTCTCACAATAAATTAGCAAATACACCCTGGTCAAGTTTATATACAGTAAATTTAAAATTGCACCTGCACATTTAAGGAGCCTCAGTGAAAAGGTGTTTATATATTCTTAACTCTTTGGTGCAAAAAACTATTTGAAAATTGATCTATTACTCCGTGTTCATTTCTTGCTTGTGTAGGGTTGAGATAGGACTGCACATGAAAATGACCCTTTATTGGCCGTTCAGCCTACCAACAATAAAAAAACAATTAAGACTCTCAGATGACTTTATTACCCCGTGAAAATAACTCAAAAATAGTCCAAATAGTTTGGATATATTCTCCCCTCCCCGCCTTCTTTCCTTCGCACTGAAAGTTTCTGTTTGTGTCTTGGAAGGGATGGGAAGCCCAAAAAATCCCCCACATCTTTAAGGGGGCTCTGTAAGAGTCAGACCTCTTTACATACTTCACACCAGTTTTCTTGTCTTGAACAATTATAAAAACTGAGTTGGTGACCGAAACTACTTGGGTAACTCCAACTGGAACAATGGAGAGTAAACACGCCTTCAAAGTGTCCATGTGCAATCGAACAATGCCTCTTTGTCCAGCTTCATGTTGTCAATCATGGCCGATGAGTTGAGAACTTTCCATTGCTTGAATGCACGGTGATCCATTAGAGTTCCTGAAGAGGTGTTGTCACAGCCGTCCCAAGATCAGCCTTGCTTGATCCCCCAGACGGACCTTTCTGAGCCAAATAATCTTTGTAGTTTCGGGTCAAGAGAGTGTAAAGAAAAGGATTGATGCAGCTGTTCCCATAGGTAAGACATGTGACAAAGAAATTGACGTAATTGTGAGCAGCTGCAGACAAAGCTTTGAGGGAATCTGGGGAGAAAAGTTTAGCTAGCTGCCATCCCCAAAACGGTAGGAAACACGCCCAATAAGCTATTATGATACTTAATATCATTGCTAGCACTTTTTGTTTGAGTCCTTTCCTCTGGGCTGAGCGGCTGCTACCCCCTAAGCTACCCTGCACTGTCCAGTAGCGCCATGCTAGCCCAGCATACAGTCCAACGATTATCAATCCAGGGACTAAGACACTTGTAAAAAACAGTACTGTAAGGTAAGCCTTGAAAGCTTCAGGCGTCCAGGTGGGGTAGCAGATTCTCTTCCCGAAGCCATACGCAGTAGGCTTGGCCTCCCTGAGCTGTATCATCACCATCATGGGAAGCATTAGAGTGAACGCCAACCCCCAGATAACTCCTGCGGCGAGTCGTCGGTTCCGAGACGAGGATCTGTGGGCACTGAAGGGCTTGGCAACGGCACGGTAACGTTCTAAGCTCATCGCAACCAAAATGAAGACACTGGCATGCATGGTGAGGAGATCGAGACTCAGGAGGATGCGGCAGCCCGCCTCGCCGAACAGCCAGTCGTGGGCAAAGTAAGTGCAGACAACAAAGGGGATGGTGGAGAGGTAGAGCAGGTCGGCCAGGGCCAAGTTGACGATGTAGACGTACATGGAACCCGTCCGGCACAAAGCGGCTGAGCGCGTTACGACGAGCGTGTAAATGTTGCCCGCCAGTCCTACGGCGCACATGACCAAAAGCGTGGCACCGAGCAGGGACGTCACCCACCGACCTCCACTGGCTCCAGCAGCACTACCACCAAACAGAGAGGTTCCATCTCCAGACCCCGGGGTCAGACCAGGTCCCGTCTCAGAAGCGATGGTGGCATTGAGGGTGCGGTTCATTGCAGATTTCTGACTTTATGAGAACATGTTCTAATCAATCCAAGTGCAAATCAAGCACTCTTGACAGCTTAGGGTGTTTGAGACTAGTTAAACCTGACCAAAGAGGAAACAGAAAATAATGACAATAAGTGTTACAGAAAAGACAGTACTGTACAGAGCAGATTTAAATTCAATACTCACATAACCTGAGTCTGAAAATTGCTGGCTCCTTCCAGTGTTTGTTGCCCAATTTCTTCCAATTTATTTATGCTCGCAATCGTGGGATTTCAAAGACACCTCGAAATAATAAGCAACGTTCTCACTTCCAGACAGCAGGGATCCCTCCCGCTGGGTCTGGGTTAAAGTAGAACCAACATGAGATTTTTGTGAGCAGTAGGGAAGTCTCAGCCCGTCAAATGGACAAACTGTGCTTCAAGCCTTTGATGGCGAGTACTGAGCTAATTTTGAGAGGACTCCAGTTGCTAATATCTCAGGAGCAATTTCTACAACAGAGAGGAGAAAAAAAGAGCCCTTCTCCACTTTTACATAATTTGTAATTCTAATAACTCCCACTCGTTTAACTTTTCTTGAAGGCACCAAGTTAGGTTATACGAGCAATCGTCTTGCATCCATTCAGAGTCAAAACTTGTCTCATGTCCCTCTAGGCTTCTTTGCCGATGTTGCCATTCAAGACATCGAGGTAAAAATCCTTCATTTCCATATAACCCATGATGATTTCCTGCTGGTCTTGTTTATCTACTTGGTTTCCCGTGGTGGAAGACGAACCATCCGTTTCTCCTCGGCTCCGAAAATCCAGCTTCACCTTTGAAGTTCTTGGTTGCAGTTCTCTCGTCTCCCTTTCCAGACCCGTCCTCCCTCTTTCTCACCAGGGTGAAAAACTGGCACGGGCCGATTGATTTATGTGGCATTCCTTCCTGGCCTCAGTCTAATGTCTCAAAAACACGGAGGTGTGGTTTTCTTTGCATGGGCTCAACTTGTGTGGATTAATATAGCTCAAACAATTTCAGTAGGTTTAAAGTCAGGGTTGTTTGGCATCTTTGTCATGTTAGGACACACATTTGTGTTAAAGTTTCAGTCAACAAACCCAAATCCTCATCCACAGTTGAAAGGAAATTAGTTAGAAATTAGAATGTTCAAGAACAATCCAAGAACCATCAAGGCCAGACAAATGCGTAAAAAACATTCTGTAGAAAAGTTATGTAATGCCCAATTTATTCAGTTTATCTGCAGAAATGTTAATTTGGGGTCCAGTTACTCTTTAAATCTTGAACTGTTTTTTTTTTTTGTTAATTTAAAAGCACAGATTGTACACAGATTTATGTTGTTTTTTTTTTGAGAAATCAGATTTTTATTAGTCAACATTTTTCACAAGTCAGCAATGGTGAGAGAAGAAAATACTTCTAATGGAAATTAAACTGAGATAGCACATTTTGAAAATACAGAGAAATCACAAAATGAAAAGGCAACAGTAACAGTAAAAAGACAGTACATCCTCATCAATTTCTAGAGTTGTATGTATTTTGTAAACTTGAGATTAGGCTTTAAATGCTTTTGAACTTTAGGCAACAGATTGATCATAAAATAAAATCCTAAAATTAATAGAGGACAGGGTTTCATTTCAGTACAACCTCAGGTGTTACATAAATATATTTGTAAAAATGTTTTAGTTTTAATAAAGAGTTGTACCACATGAAGGTGCTGCTAAGCCATACAACTGCTGGAATTGTTTTCAGCACCTTGCTCAAAATACATTTTTAAATTGGCTTCTATATCTACTTTTTTTGTAAGAATACTATAAAAAGTATGCATAAGTCTTTTTGAATAAAAAAGTAACAGAAAATCTGATCTTTTGGGAGTTGTAATCAAAAATATAGGTTTATGTTACAACTAGAAAATTAAAATTCTGCTAGTAAGTCAATAATATATATATAGTTTTTCTTTGATGAATGACAACATTTTGACCCAGAGAAAAGCATTGCAAAGCAGAAATCTTTTTCTGTAATTTACTGCACAGAATACCAAGCCTTGTAACTACAACAGCTAAAAAAGCTCCAACATTTGGGTATCCATAAAGCTTTGACCATAGTGTTTCCCATAACAGTGCATATACTAAAACTTTACAAGCAGTAAAAAAGAAATTACAAATTCAAAACTTAAATACTTGGGCAGAAATAGCTGACACAATAGGAAAAAAGCATCTTTTACCATCACATAATTTAAGCTAACTAGTTAGAAAAATATCTATTGAGCCAGAAAAAAAGCTAGTTAGCTAGAAAAATAGTCAGCTAGCTAGCTAAAAAAAATTGCTAGTTTTGTAGCCAGTTAGCTACAAAAATAACCAGCTTGCTTTGTAGACAGATAGATAGATAGATAGAGAGAGATAGCTGGATAGAATATACTTATATGGATTAAATTAATTACTAGTGTCAAAATTTCACACAACAGTTTATTGTTGCATGTTATTATTATATTTTTCACCATTAGCTGTAAGCCATTTAATAAAGATAGAAAATGTGTCCTTGTGACTGACTCGGG